TTGCAAAACCGACTCTGAACAACCAAGTTCTCAGAACTAGATTTGTACTGAGAGTATTTATTTTGTTTCAATCCAAGATTGTACAGAAGGACATTTGTTCAAAACTGGTCTTAGCTTTGACTACTCCATGGCTTATTTATTTTTATTTTTTGCTGCAGTATGACTGATTTTTTTCCTCCTTTCATCTTCTTAAGGAAAATGGTTTGCGCTGCAGATTAAAAAGTGGTTCATTTGTCTATCTGTTCATCCATCCATCCATCCTTCAAACCAGAAGCAGATTACTTAAAATATCTTTTGATTAAAGTCCCTTCAACTTCAATATGAGGAAATCAAAGCCCAAAGCTATTAATTAACTTGCTTGAATTCACACAGGCAGTTAGAAGTTAGACTACAGGACAGAGCCAAGTTTCCTGGCCCCCAGCATAGCCCTATCTCACGCAGAGCCTTTCAGAAAGGATGCTAGCAGGTCTAGGGTGAGGTAGATAGAATCAGAAGGAAGAACAGAGCTTAGTGCTTGCAGAAGAGCAGCTGGTGGCCAGAGCTGGGGATTGTTGATGTTGATGAAGAGACTGGGCCTACAGACTGTTCAGAGCGCATATTTCACCGGGCACAAGATGAATCAGGCCTCCTTGGGCCCTGCTGGTTCTAAAGGCTCTGGTTCAACATGCCGGAGGCACAGAGGACAGTGCGCATCTGTGGGAAGTTTCCTCCAGGGAAGCACAGCACTTTGAGACTTCTGCCAAAACCCGTCATGCAAGAGCCGTGCAATATTTTGTCTGAAAGGGCTCATAAGCTCCTTGCCCTGAGTCATCTGAGAAACAGCAGCACATCAAACACTGACATTTAGGAAGGAGGTTAAGCCTCCCATTAAACTGGAACATTTGTAGTAAGAAATGAAAGCATAAGAAGACTTGCTGCACAGGCAAAACTGGGGCTTATGTTTCCAGTCAACAGAGTCTATGGACAAACATGACTTTTCCAAACAAACGGGTGTCAGCAGTAGACGCTGACCAAATGCCACAGCTAACAGGACAGTCAGCTTAAGAATGACTCCCTTTCTGTGTAGCCCATCTCCTAATAAAGGAAATGACGAAATGCTATGAAAGAGGACAAAGAGAAGGTCTATTTTGTCCTTTACTACAACTGTTAGAGACAATGCTTACATAGCGCTGTCTATGTGTCAGCTCCTATCCTGAGAGCTTTATATATATTATTCAGAGCACTTTTATGAAGGAGCTACTACTGTTAGCTCCTGCTTACATAAGAGGAACTAGGCACAGAGAGGTGAAGAAATTTGCCTAAGTTTACACAGTTAGTAGGGAGCAGAGCTGGGCTATGAACCCAAATGTTGCTGTTAACGTACATGCTAACCTCCCTCTCACTAAGAATTAAGAACATAAGAAATGCCTTTCTGGATAAGACCCACAGTCCAGGACCCACCCATCCATCCACTCTCCACCCACCCCTAGGTGGCAAGCATTGTGCTGGGCTCTGCATGCACCGTGGTGAGCAAACCCAGAAGCCGTCTCCAGCTTTGGTGGTGTGTTCTTCAAATAAAGAGCCTCGGTGGCAGCCTCACGATCCCCATCACTCTCCTGGCTGTGGCAGAGGTACTAGTTTCCTTGGAGGGCCACGTGTGTGGTGATGTTCTGGGCTCACTTCTGGAGACCTAGTCTAGATCCCACTCCTCTAGCTCTTTCAAGATTTTACATGTACTTAATTTCTTGTATGGAATCCTGCTCTCCTTAAAATGACGAGAGTGGTGTCTGCTTTCTGCATCTGAGCTGTGACTGACACATTTTCCGAAAGGGCTAAAGGATGAAGGTTAAATAAGAAGTGCCTCAGGCTAGGAGTGGAAACAGGACTGGCTCTAAGAGTCAACTCATTTGCATCGGAGCAGGAGAGAGGTACCTGGGAGGGAGGCTGGGGCTGGTAGGGGCCCTGAGATCCAGGGGAGACAGCCCGATACATAGCACTGGTCCCAGGGAGCCCGGGACATCCCAACTAGATTCTGTGTAGGAACAGCATGGAGCTAGATAGAAAGCACAGTTTTTTCCTGGAGCTGAGGACCAAATTGGGAGAAGGGATGGACAGAAAGTTGCCTAGCCAAGGTACATCTTCAAAGCTAAACAAAGCTGGACTCTGTTTCTACTCTGGACATTTGTTGTTTTCTATCTATACACATTTTTGTCCCAACAAATCCTCCAACATGTGATAAAAATACATGTAGCACATTTAAGATGCACCCAACAAATATTTATCGAGTATCCACTACGTGCAAGATACCACTCTAGGCACTGAAGATATGGCAGTGGACAAACCAGATCAAAATCCCTGTCCTCAAGGGGCTTCCATCTGTGATTGAAAACTTCTTCCTTTTTTTTAAATAAATCTATTTATGTATATATGTATGCACGTATTTATTTATTTGGCTGCATTGGGTCTTCCTTGCTGTGTGTGGGCTTTCTCTAGCTGCAGCAAGCGGGGGCTACTCTTCGTTATAGTGCGCGGGCGTCTCACTGTGGTGGCTTCTCGTTGCGGAGCACGGGCTCTAGGCATGTGGACTTCAGTAGTTGTGGCACGCAGGCTCAGTAGTTGCGGTGTGTGGGCTCTAGAGCGCAGGCTCAGTAGTTGTGGCGTGTGGGCTCAGTTGCTCTGCGGCATGTGGGATCTTCCCAGACCAGGGTTCAAACCCGTGTCCCCTGCATTGGCAGGCAGATTCTTAACCACTGCGCCACCAGGGAAGTCCTGAAAACGTCTTTAAGTTCAAAAAGTGTTGAAAAACTCAAACAGGTAAAAATTATCCATAATCCCATCAAAAATTCTTCCTCTACATATGTGAATATAAAGCAAGAAGCCAGAGCTCCTCCTTGTGCATCTAACCCTTTCTGTTCCCCACATGTAACCATTATAAAATTTTCCTAAAATGTTAAAGACTTATTAAATATATACACCCATGTACTTTTTATTTTTAAACAAAAATAGGATAATGCTTTACATAATGATCTACATCTACACCCAATAGATGTACATCTACACCCAATAGAACATGAACCCGTTTTATTCTGAATTCTCCAAGCAGAGCCCAGGACAAGGACCCAAATACAGTCCTTGCCAAGTATATTTAGATTCCACTCATTTTATTGGTTGCACAGCATTTCACTAAGTGTCTGTATAATTATTATTTAATCCCCTCAAGATACACATATACTCCCTGCCTTGAACCCACTTCCGCTCACTGACATTTAGGATTTTTGGTGAACGAGTTGATGTTACTGACTCACTGTAAGGGAAGTGTATGCAACACGGGAAAGTTCATTTTCCAAAGGCGATGGCTGCTCAGGCAGGGTTCTGAGGTCTGGAGCAACTGTGTTGCTAGCAGGGAGATAAAGTCTAGGAAACTTATCACTGTCCTTATTATGCCCAAGATTTATAGCTAATACATGTTTATGTGAAGTTGGCCAAATTAGTCACCATGATGATCACAAAACTGAAAAGACCTCATTAATTTAGTGGTTTATCTTCCCCTTGCCAATGATAGCAGACACTTGCTTCTTGATATCCTTTCGTCTAAATTTCATCATATGTCAGCATTTCTATCACGTCTTCTAGGACCAGTCCATACTGCCATATTTAAGATTGGTAATTGTTTCATGACAAAACTACAACTGATTAATTATCTGAGTGATTTTTTTTTAATCTGAGTGATTTTATCTGTATTTCGTGGTAGTGATGTTCTCAGATCATTGAACAAAAGATGGGAATTTATATTACTAAGTTGAGTGCCAATTTCTAAGGTCTTTTGTGTCTTGGTGGGTGATTTCAGTATCTGAGATCAGCATTATCAGTCATAATTCCTAGACCCTTCAGGAGAACCACGGTGCAGCAAGCAGGGAGGTTTTGGGTTGGCAGAAAAGACCTGGCATCAGGCCCTGGCCCACCTGTGTGCCTGCTTCCTGGGCCTCGGGATGAGAATACCTCTCTGGCCTACTTGTCGTGAGGATCAAAGGGAAAACCAAATGTAGGGGACTCTTCAAGTATCAGCTACTATACAAATATATGGGAGGAAGAATCTGGATTTTGCTAGGTGGTAGCAGGTAACCTTAGCTGTTGTCGACATGCCCACCTTAGAGAGTCAGAACCCTCAAGCTGAACCCCTCACTATGTCATAGTCCCCACTAACAGCTCATTCAACTCTCCAAAAAGCCTTAGCAAATGGAGCGAATTGTACTGACTATTTCATGGGGAGATGGAAGAGAAGATTCCTTCACACACTCCACAGCAAAACCCAACGATCTTTTCTGTCAGAAACATCTGTTCTTCCTTGAAAGCTCACCTCTGGCCACCAGGAACCTGCGGGTTGTCTCTTCCTTGTCCAACAGAGACTGCCCAGCCTCGATGGCCCCAGCTTTCCTTCACCCCTTCATCTTCCCCTTGGGTCTTTCCGTGCCTCCCCGTGCCTCCCCCGCACCTCGCCCCACGGAGTTTTGATAGAGCAATTACCCCTTCAATCTTGGATTCTCATACCGTCTTCCTACTCCCTGGTCAAAAAATCCTTGCAAGGTTCTCCTACTCTCCTAATAAAGCGGTGGGGGCATTTTAAATAACAAACATTTTTGCTGGCATCAGCTTCTTTTTCCCTTGTCATAACATTATTAGGTAATTTTGCTACTCTTAGATCCAGAAACTTGGGCACTAAGGCCACCCCACATCTGGCACTTAGGGACTTGCTTAAGGTGACAGAACAGCTCTGGGGCAGTTATAAAGCAGCACTGACCCGTAATCCAGTGCTCATCTCACTGCATCGAGCCTGAAATACAAATAAACTGGGAAGCTTTCAGATTCAGGGGAACCCAGAACTCTGGACTACAAGGGCCTTGGATTTCATCTTGAACAGATCCTTCATTTTAGAGAGGTTAAAATGGAAACTTTTCTTTCAGTCTCTGAATCCTAAAAACACAACACAGATTAGACGGTTACTTTAAAACATATGTACTTGCCTGGTGGGTATGATTTCCAGGAACATATACAGACTTAAACTGTTTCATGAGATTCCGAGCTCCAGCAATATCCCGAAGCGAAGTAAAGAGTTCATCCACGGCACTTCTGGACTTGTGAAATGTCAGGTTAATTGAAGAGTCACAGCCTGAAACAATCCAGAGATATTTGCTTCGCTGAACAAATCTTTACACTGAGTTGTAATCGTGACAGGTTGAGCTCATATAACGTAGTTGTTGTTGTTGTTTTTTAACCCTATTTCCCCCTGGCTGTTCACCAACTGGGCTGTTTCAATCATCCCTGAGCAATGAAACACATTGAGTGTAAACGCCTTTGACAGAAGCAGAACTCAGAATTGCCTGGGATTGCAGCCACTGGCTTCAACCCCTAGACTGCAGAAGTTTCACAAAAAGAAAGCTCCCCAGGGTCTAGTGTCCTCTGAACACAGCTTTGGGAAAATAGGAGACACAAAGGAAAACACAGGAGTACTGTGATGAACCGCTCTCACTTGAATCCCACCAACAGTTTCCATAAAATAGAATAGCAAGAATGAGAAAGATCATAGAGTTGCTCCAATGACAGAACTTGCGGGGATGGGCATATAATGCGCTAACAAAGCTTATGGCGTATTTCAAAAGGCAGCCATTCAGAGCTGATCAAACACAAAGGGGGCCTAATGAGAAGACTGTTCTCGGAAGTGGTTCTATTTCTTTTTGAAACTCATAATAGATGGATTTCTTCTCTGTCTTGTTACAAGCTCATGCAGAAGAGGAATGATCATGGTAAATCAGAAGTTCAAAAAATAGAGAAAGATTCAAGATGAGTATTTTTGACTGTTGAAATATTGCAGATACATGAACTCATCAATCCCCACATCACCCTTATGAGACAGGAGCTATTCTTTCCCCCATACAAAGGATGAGGGAGCTGAGGGCCAGAGAGATTAAGGAACACTCCCATCAGCACACTGTCTATGTTCAGCCCATGTTCGTTCAGTCATTCTGGACTGGTTCACCTGTACGTTTGGGGAACAGTTCTTGTGCCCTCTGCTTCCTGCCTCAAGTACCTGCGTGTCTGTCTCTGTGTCTGTCTGTCTCTGTCTCTGTGTATCTCTCCTCCTGTCTGGGGCCTTTCTTTGGTTAGAAGCATAGAAGTCAGCACTCAGAAACAACAGAGCTTTCTCATCGCTTGGGGGGTACCATTCTGAATTGTGGTCTCCATAGCCTTATGGAGGGGCCAGTAGGACTGAGCCCCTGTTGCCCCCAACAGTAACTCACTCATGAATGCCTCCTCTACTGGCTTTCCTTCCTCTCCTGTCTCACTTCCCTACGTCCTGACCACACTGCCTAGGACATCTTCTCAAATACAGTACTTGCACCCAAATCCTTGTCTCAGGACACCAGAGCTGCCAGGGTGATTTTAACACAGGCAGCTTGGGTCCAGAATCTATATTCTTTTTTTCAGAACACATTTACTGAGGTTCAGTTCATACACCACACAGTTAACCCATTTCAAGTGTACAATTCAATAGCTTTTAGTATATTCACATAGTTGTACAATCATCATTCCTACAATCAACTTTAGAACATTTTTATCACCTCAACAAGAAACTCCATACCTGTTAACTGTCACTCCCCCTTTCCCCCTACCCCCAGACCCTGGCACCACTGATCTGCTCTCTGTCTCTATGGATTTCCCTACCCTGGACATTTCATATAAATGGAATCATAGAATATATGGTCTTTTGTGACTGGCTTCTTTCACTTAGCACAATGTTTTCAGGGCTCATCCAAGTTGTAGGATGCATCAGCACTTAGTTTCTTTTTATTGCTGACTAACAGTCATTGTATAGATATACCACATTTTAAATATCCATTCATTGGTTGATGAACATTTGGGTGTTTCCACATGTTGGCTATTATGAATAATGCTTCTAGTTTTACATGTACAAGTTTCTGTGTGGACATACATTTTCATTTCTCTTGGTTACATATTTAGGAATAGAATTTCTGGGTCATGTGGCAACTCTGTATTTAACCGTTTGAGGAATTGCTAGGCTGTTTTCCAAAGTGACAGCACCATTTTACATTCCCACCCTCAGTGTAAGAGGGTTTTCTCTGCATCCTCAAAAATGCTGTTATCAACTATCTTCTTGATTGTAGCTCTCCTAGTGGATGTGAAGTGAGGAGATACTTGTTAATTTTGATAAAGAGAGAAGTTTTTAGGAAGCAGAGGTAGATCCAAACAAGCTTCAACTAAAATGGATTGTATCTAAAGTACATAGGAACATCCAAAGGAACCCAATGGCAGCAGACACAGTGTGTAGATAGTTGAGCCTGTACTTTCAATAACTGTGGAACACTGTATATAACTCTTAAAGGGAGGGCAAAATTCTGAACTGTTTTTACTCACACTTCTGACACCAAATGTGTGGACTTTTCCCCCCATACCAACCAATTCTCTAACTCTCCACACATCAACTGAGTGTCCTACAATTCAAATCAATTCTGCCACTAGCTATGTAGAGTTAGTGCAGACCCCACCCAGACTGCCCCCACTTCAGGTGCCAAGTTTAAATCCCAGCTTGCCCGTTGCACTCCTGACGTATCAATCAGGGGTTCCCATGACCCCTTCCTCAGGTTCAATAATTTGCTAGAACAGATCACAGAACTCAGGAAAGTGCTTTACTTACTGGGACCAGTTTATTACAAGGGATGCAACTCAGGAACAGTCAAATGGAAGAGATGCAGAGGGCCAGGTATGGGGGAAGGAGAGCAGGACTTCCATGCCTTCTCCAGGTGCTCCACCTGCCCAGTATCTTGATGTGTTCACCAACCAAGAGGCTCTTCAAACACTATTGTTTAGGAGACTTTATGGAGGTTTCATTACATAGGCACAATTGATTAAATTACTGGCCACTGGTGATTAATGCATCTCTCAGCGGCTCTCTTCACTCTGGAAGTTGCGCGGGTAGGGCTGAAAGTTCCACTACTCTAAACATGCCTTGGTTTTTCTGGCAACCAGCTCCCATCCTGAAGCTATTATTCCCCCAACCACCAATCACCCATTAGCATATAAGACACTCTCATCATTCTGGAAATTCCAAGGGTTTTAAGAGCTGTGTGCTAAGAACTGTGGACAAAGACCAATATGCATATTTCTTATTGTATCAAAAAAATCCTCTGACCAGTCTCTATTTCCTGGTCTCCAGAAATGTCCAACTCACTGTCATTAAAAAAATCAGGGGCTTCCCTGGTGGCGCAGTGGTTGAGAGTCCGCCTGCCGATGCAGGGGACACGGGTTTGTGCCCTGGTCTGGGAAGATCCCACATGCTGCGGAGCGGCTGGGCCCGTGAGCCATGGTCGCTAGGCCTGCGTGCCCGGAGCCTGTGTTCCGCAACGGGAGAGGCCACAACAGTGAGAGGCCAGCGTACCGGAAAAAAAAAAAAAAAAATCAAAAGGGTGGTCAAGCCTAGTGAGAGGAAGCCTCCCCGTGCTCAGTGAACTCCAGTGGGGAAGCAGGGATTCGACAGAAAATTCAGGGAGTTCGTGTACACTCTCTAGAATTCTATGCCAAGCTTTGTGTCATTTTCTGAGAAGCATGTCCACAACTTCCTCCTTATTCTTAAAGAGGTTCATAATCAAGAAAAGGTGAGATCCACAGGTCCAGAGCATCTATCGATATCATACCATGCTTGCCCTTGGCATTGCAGCTCAGTTGGATACATCAATTTGTGCATTAGTCAATAATCAGCCAGAAGAAACCCTGGAAGGTTATGGCTTCTCACTGATTCATGTGGCTTCTTTCCTTAAACTCCCAGCCTGAACCATTTAAAATATGGGAAATTACATCAATTATATCTAAGTGTTGTATACTACGTACTACTACTCCTTTAAATTAAAAATGGCATGAAAACAAGAAGAAAGCATTACTAGTTCTAACACCATGCACGGTGTTTCAATTCTTCTAAAACACAATTCAGCTAATAGGCTAGACTTCTTAAATTTAAAGTAATTCTATAGAACAGAAAGGTTCATACAAATTTTCACACGGTCTCCTTCAACTTTTTGAAAAGTGAGGACTGTAATGTTCATCCATTAGGCTGAGTGGAATAGAATCATCTCCTGGATTATAGAGTACTGAAAATTATAAATTATACATGGAAATTGTAGATTATACGTTGGAAGTAGTTTAAGCAAAGGCTGTGTAATTCTGAAGAGTTAGGTCAATTGTGGAGCAGGTTGTTGATAGAAGAAATGTTTACAGATTACAGGTAAATTGAACTCAAAGGAACCCAACAGAAAAATAACACTGTCAAAGAAATTGCTGGAAGAAAAAAAAGTACAAAATTTACAAATACACTAAAACCTTCCTGAAAAACAGTCAATTATCTCCATTGTTCAAAGCAACTGCACAAGGGCAACTTCTGTCCAGTGGGTCTGTCCAGCGATCCTTTCCGACGTGTCTGTTACCCTCAAAGCAAGTCCTCTAAAATGTACATGTTTCTGGGACACCAGGCCAAAGGGGTCTCATCTCTGAGCATCTTCGTAATTATATCAATCTTCACCAAAAGCAGAATTTACATTCACTTACCTAAACCCTATAATGAAAGTCTCCACACACACACACATACACACACACACACAGAAATGGGGATAAGAGAAGATAAATGACGTGTAAGATCGCATCACCATCTCCAGCAAATGTCTCTCTGATCACAGCCCTGACCTCCTCCACGTACACTGCCTCCCACCATTCAGAATATCTCCTCTGTGAGTGCAGCTCATTCCATATCATGCTGCAGTTGATAGCTAAAGGAGATGCGGGTGCAGAAGCTATGAAATGGGATGAATTCTCTTCTGGTGTAAAAGCTATAATCACTGAAAGCTCACGTATAGAATCACTTATGCCAGACACTATTCCAAGAAGTTTATACATATTAGCTCACTTAATCTCCTCAGAAACCCCATGAGGTAGGTACTACTATCATCCCCATTTTGCAGATGGGGAAACTGAGCCATAGAGAAGTTAAGTGACACACGGTCACTCAAGTAGTAAGTGGTAAAGCTAAGATGTAAACTCTTGCAGTCTAATGCCCAAGACGGTTGTGTTAACCACTCTACTCTGCGGTCTTTCATATGTGCTGGA